TCCTTGGACAATGAAACAGGACTTGATCCACCAGGAATTCGGGTTCGGGCTGTCCCCGGGCTTGTTGCGGCCGACTATTTTGCTCCCGGTTATTTCGTTTGGGCTATCCTGATCGAGAATTTGGCCCGCATTGGGTATGAGGGCAAGAATATGTACATGGCTGCTTATGATTGGAGGCTGTCCTTCCAAAACACAGAGGTAAATGAACATAACTGCAATTAAGCTTATAGAAATGTAGTTGATATATACTTGTTAGTGGTGAAGCAGGTAAGGGACCAAACACTGAGTAGACTGAAGAGCAAAATCGAGCTCATGTACGTGACGAATGGGTACAAGAAAGTGGTTGTGGTGCCTCATTCGATGGGCGTAATTTATTTTCTGCACTTCATGAAGTGGGTTGAGGCCCCAGCACCTATGGGTGGGGGTGGCGGGCCGAGCTGGTGTGCTAAGCACATAAAATCAATCATGAATATTGGCCCGGCTTTTTTAGGTGTTCCGAAAGCTGTGAGTAATATTTTGTCTGCCGAGAGCAAAGACGTGGCTTTTATCAGGTAGTGTTTACTTGTGAGAAGGGATAATGATAAAGAGCCCCCTTACATTAACAAAGAAAGGTTTAGCTAAAGTAGTAAAGTACAAACACACCTAATTTTTTGTTGTAAATTTGAGGCGAAAAATTACCTAACAATTCCAATAGGACCATTAAAGTTTTCTTGGTTCTTTAAGGATGGAGAATATTAGGCTTGTTCCTTAATATAACATTGTTCTCAACCTGCCATTGAATTTGAAGGGCTATGGCACCTGGACTGTTAGATTCCAAGATTTTTGGGCTTCAAGCCCTAGAACATGTGATGCGCGTGTCTCGAACATGGGACTCGATAGTTTCTTTATTACCTAAAGGTGGTGACACCATTTGGGGTGACTTGGATTGGTCTCCTGAAGAAGATCATGTGCAAAATCAGTTTGACGCGAAGAGCAATAACACGGACGGTAGAAGAGGTTTTCAAATACAATTAGAGTCGGCTAAATATGGAAGGATCGTGTCTTTTGGGAAGGCAGCATCCGAATTGCATTCTTCGGAGTGGTCTGTAGTCGACTCCCACTCTCAGGTATAATTTTTTTTTTCTATATATTTGCAATTTATAATGAATCTGGAATTTAGTTTCGACAGGTTAAATTTTTGCAGAATGCGAGCTCTCCAGGGGCCCTTGCGTCGCGTGGGAAAGTGTGGACAGAATATAATGAACTGAGCCGTGAGAGCATTTTGAGAATTGTGGAGAAGAAGGCGTACACTACAAACACTTTATTGGAACTTATTCGGACAATCGCTCCGAAAATGATGAAAAGGGCAGAAGCTCACTTTTCGCACGGCATTGCTGACGACCTAGATGATCCCAAGTACAATCACTACAAGTATTGGTCAAATCCACTCGAGACCAAGTAAGCATAACATAAGATAAATAATAATTGAAATTAGTTGGAGTTGAGTCGAATATGAATTGTTGAGATTTTGTTGTGTTGTTGATGTGAGGTTACCGGATGCCCCGGAGATGGAGGTATACTGCTTATACGGTGTGGGGATCCCCACGGAAAGGTCGTATGTGTACAAAACGACGTCCCGAAACATCCCTTTCCAAATAGACAACGGTGGGGTCCACTTGACGGACGGAGATCAAAGTGTTCCGGTGCTCAGTGCCGGCTTCATGTGCGCCAAAGGGTGGCGAGGGCGGACGAGGTTCAACCCTTCGGGAATATTGACTTACGTGCGCGAATACAAGCACAAGCCACCGACCAACTTGTTGGAAGGGAGAGGGGTGGAGAGTGGGGCCCACGTGGACATCATGGGCAATGTGGGACTCATCGAGGATGTCCTAAGGGTGGCCGCCGGAGCCACTCGGATTGGTGGGGGGGATAGGGTTTATTCCGACATTTTCAGAATGTCCCACAAAATTAAACTCCGCCTTTGATTTTCATTTTCTATGTTTATATGTAATAATGTCTTTCACAAATTTTGGCTGGAAGGAGAGATTCTGACATGCATGACGCGATGTGATGTGATGCTCCGGTGAGACTCAGTTCGACTGTAACTTTATTTTTCAATTGTTTACAAATAAATGCTGTTCTTTCATCAGTTAAGCAGATTAAAAAAAAAAAAAAA